CCCCCCCGACCCCCCCCCCTGCCCCCCCCTTGTCTTCTCACTGACCTGTAGGGTCTTGTCAAACCAGCGGTTGCCGCTGTTCCACCGAGCCCCTCCCCCGTGCAGCATCTGCGCGGCCACGCGGCTCCAGTACTGACCGTCGGACACCCGGGGGATGGGGGCGTCCAGGCAGATGGTGAAGATGCTCTTCTGGATGGCACGGACCGACTCCTTGTTCATCTTATCTGTGAGGGACACCAGAGGTCACGTCAGCCCTGTCCACACGTCGGATCACAGTCGGACCTGAACGTCCTGAGCGTCCTCGTCCACCTTTGATCAGGTTGTTGTAGGCCTTGCCCCAGGTGTTGCGGTGCTGGGACGTCAGGATGCCGATCGGCTCCTTGTTGCTCTGCAGCGAGGAGTTCCAGATCTTCTCCAACTGCATGTACAGCTGGTCCACGGTCAGGGGAGAACCATCGCTGTTGTACACGTCCAGCCTGAAGAACTGGGGGGGGGGACAAAAAAACCCCCGACAGGGTCAGTGCTGAGAAAATGTCCCCAGAAGACAAAGGGAGGACAGAGACGGCGGTTCAAATACCTGGAAGTTGTGGACCACCGTGATGTGGGTGGGAGAGGTTTTCCCGATGGCGTGGTTGACGACGGTGTCCCGTCTGGGACCGGGGACCCGGCAGGAGGACAGGATCTGGTAGTACTGGTCCATACACAGAGGCTTCCCGCTCAGGTACTCCACAGGAAGAGTCTCCCTGTGACACAGACACAGACACACAGACACAGACGCTGAGGCTTCGGTTTCACCTCATGGGTTCGGTTCTCGGCGGAACTCACGTGTCAATCATCTTCTTGAAGTCCAGAACTCCAGCGATTACTTTGGCCGCGAATCTGCGGAGAGAGAGACGAACGTCAAAGTCGTGACCTCGACCTGAACGTCGACGGACGCGGACCGTCCCGCTGCACCACCACATTTACACCACCAGGTGGTGACTGCAGCCAGGGACAGCTGGACCGGTCCCGCAGCTTTAAATAGTCAGAATGTGAAGGTCAGCTATTGGATTTCCACGGTCACGTGACCCTCCGTCCTCCTCCTCGTCCCCATCCCCGTCCCACGGTGGTCAATATTTAGACCTGGTTCTGATTGGACCGTGTCTCTCACCTCATCTGTCCTTGGCGGTCGTGGAATTGCATCCGTGGCAGGACGACCCCGGGGCTGGTGTAGACCGGGACGGGCATACGGCAGTCCAGATAGGCCGACTGCATCCACCACTCTGACAGCTTTGAGGGGGAGGAGCCAACGGAGACGGAGACAGGGTGAACGTTGGACAAACGTTGGACAAAAGGAAATTGAATAAAGAATAAAAGACGTCTTTAGTTGAAAACAGCGTTGGCGTAGAAGAGAAAATAGCATCATTTCTATGACAGCTAGCATACCATCGCTATGGTCTACAACCTGAGGCTCCCGGGCCACACCACGGACCGCTCGTTAGCCTCTAACCTTTGACCTTTGCTCAATATAAACAACAAGACCGACGGAGGGAAAATCAAAAAGTATTTCAAGTTATTTGATTTCTGGCAACTTGCGATCTATAGCGCCACCTCCTGGTCATCTTTCACAGATACAGTATGTGAGACCAGTCATTCTCTATGGGGGGGGGACACTTGTCCCTGTGTCTGTACCCAGTTGTCCGTCTTGCGCGCCCGGCGTTCCAGGCCCTTCTGCAGCCGGTCGCCGACGCCGCCCGTGAGGAACTCGTCCACCAGCAGCTGCGTGTGTCCCAGCTCCTCCGTGCTGACCAGAGGCTTCAGACACTCCAGGTACGTCTGACACGTCTGCCTCAGCGGCGGCACCGGCAGCTTGGGGAGACCCTCCTGTTGAAGATGGGAACTCTCCGGAACCGATGCCGTCA